CTACTCTACTCTCTCTCTCTCCTCTCTCCTCCTCCTTACCCCCCCCCCCCCCCCTACCCCCCCCCCACCCCCTACCCCACCCACCACCACCACCACCACCACCATATAACAAAAAAAAAACTTTAAGGCCTCCTAGAGGACCGGCTTAAAATTTTCAGTTAGACCCGCCAAATGAAACTCCTTTCTCCCCATAAATCTCTTCATCTTAGAAACCTATCGAGCGATTGGCTTGAAAACCTGTCATCCATGTCCTCACCAAACACTACAACGACCAGACCAGCATGGAAAATCCTATATTTTTCAAGCTAGAAGAAACATTTCCAACTCTATCTTCTCCTCCTCACTATCTCCATCAGAAGGAGGTCTCAATTTTCTCATCCTCCATGACTAATTTCAGCGTTTCATCATCATATACGAGTCATTTGTCCCAATCTACAATGTCTTTCCCACTTGAACTTGTACGTGAGACCTGCCAAGCCATACCCATCTCATGGATTAAAACAAACTCTTCATCTAGTTCCTCGTCATAGATTGGATCATCATCATCCACATGGTCTTCATCAAAGATAGGACTACCCATAGGATCTGAGAAGGGAGATTCAAACCAAAGATCTGAAAATAGATGATTCATCCACGAAATCCCAACTATCATGGCCCTAAACAAACACACCTCTATCAGATTGGGTTAGGCGCACCTCCTGCACCAGTTCCTCTAATCAACTTCGATTAGAATGGATTTGACGCACCTCTTGTGGCAATTCGTCAAATCACCTCATTAAATTGTGGCATTCCTCCCATGTAAGTCAGAATCCACCACCACAATCATAACCTCCTCTAGCAGCCATTGCATAAACTTGTAGCATCTCGGGTGCATTGGGAGCTCTAATGCCATATGATGTAAAACAAAATAGTAGAGAAGAAAATAAGCAATAATCCGAAATATCGATTAAACCAAGATTCACAAAAAGAATAATACCCAAAACTTTGAATCTAAAACCCTCTTACAACCTGCTCTAATCAAGTAGGCACTCTAAAAGAAAGCTTTGAAAGTGGGTAGGCAGGGCAGGAATGCACCTTCTGAAGCTATTCCTTTTACTCTCAACTAATACTGAAAAAGAGAGGAAAACACACTAAACTAATAGTACTAGTAAATAGAGGGTTGAAGGAGAACAGAAAGAGACCTTAAGTAAGGGAGATTGTACGACACTGCCGCTTGACAACTAGAATGGAAATTCAAGTTGGCCTTTCTCCAAAACTCCTAGTATGGATTCTGATATGAAAAGAAAAAACCTAAACCCGACTCTAAAAACTTTGCCGGCTAGTCTGCATTTTTCGTCCGCCTACCACCCCTGATTCACCATCCCCTGCTACGTATGAGTGTGACAGCTGCTTAGGTTCAAAGTGGTCTTTTAAGTGAAAATTGAAAACTTAGTTACGGTAGAGGAACCTCAACAAGAAAGCCGGTTCTAGGATCAAAGACTCTGCTCGCCTCTAAGGTGGTCCAGCACATTCTAGGAAGACAGCAGGGAGGGAGTCAACATATTTTAGACTAAGACCTAACCTAGACCCCCAAGAAACCTTAATATGAACTAAATTGGACACCTAATGAAAATATGATATGAAATGAAAATTTTCCCTTGAAAAATAGATAATTTCTCCTTTGACAAACTAAAATAAAGGCCATAACTACCTTCTTAAACTGCACCTAATCCTACAAAAATAAAACCTAAAGTTAATCCCTAAAATTCCAGAAAAATACATTCGTTATTCCCAACAAGTAAAATACATAGAGAAACCCAAATCTATCCATCTTGTGTCTGTGTCAATGTTAGAAGAAAACACAGTGGCACATACTTAGCTAATCAGGGTTAAGCTTGGGACAAGATGGGCTTTTCAACCATGATGCTGTTCTGTCCAATTATGAACTTCTTTCTACTTAGTGCCACCTTATAAATAACCGAAAACAAAGTCTAAAGAAACGACTATACATGATCAGATGCCCTTCTGACCCATGAATCTCTGACATAGTTTCCACTTAGTATTATAGTTCTTTCTTTCAAAATGATCGCTAATCCCTTAAAAAATAAACAACTTAATCATGAGTGTCAGTCCACTGAAATTCCCTAGATATATCCTGCATTTATGGTCTCTTAAATTAGTTGATCAATTTCTTTTTGCAAACTAGTGATTTGTTGCCATCAATATCCAACTTACCAAAAAAGGGGGGAAAAAAAAGTATCCAGCTTCCATTAATCCTATTGCATTTAACCTTCCACCTTGGTTTGTTTATTAACATGGATTCTTCATTTTCTGTCAAATAAATTTTCTTCGTCATTCTTGCTGAAAAATAGTCCTTTCCATCAAATTTATCCACCTCGAACCTTGCATTCGAAACTTTTATTGCCTCATCAAAAAGGCTAAACCAGGGCTACTTGGCTCACTTGGCTTTGATACCAGTTGTTGTGAAGCTCTAAACCCGATGGGTTGATTTTTGGCAAATAAAGTACGAGAATAAAACATGAAATACAAACCAAAATAATCCATCATCATCACATATTTTAACTTCAATTATTTTTTTTCTTTTTTAAGTAATCTTAGTAGTATAAACCACATACTTTGACTTTTAAGATTGAGAATTATCATCAAGAAAGCTCTCAATTATACATACAAGCAAAATCCCATAAAAGAGAAAGTAAATGAGATGTATACACAAAAGAAACAACAATTGATGAAACATGAAAGGAAATAATTGAAACAAAACTGAATTAAAGAACACCAGATCTGATCTATGTAACCTTGGAAAAAAATAAAGAAAGAAAGAGGAATGAAGTGTTCATCATGCACGAAACACCTAAAAGATGCATGTATTTAAGAAATAGATGAAGGAAATATATCATATGAACGAAAATTGATAGCTTTGGTGAGCATGAATTCTGTGCAAGATGCAAGCGGTAGTTAGGGCCCAATTGATAGAGAGAGAAAGAGAGACCGATTGAGAGAGGAATAGTGGAGAGAAAGAGAGACTTATAGAGAGAGAAAGTACCAGTTGTTTTCTGTGTTCATCCATAGTCGTCCAACAGGAGGTGAATCAGCAAGAGCATTCACCCCCAGCCCGTCTCCAGCTTCTAGTTGGAGGCGAGGTGAATGATAGGCGACAACATTCTCGACATTTCCAAACAAGGCAACATGCTGTAATAATATATTTTTCGCAAAGGGTTTAAAAAACGGATCGGATCGGAGATGTACCGAATCACTGGCAAATTATATCATTTTTCTCTAGATATTTTGCCTTAAGTTTCGAAGGTAGCTTATGCAGTAAATACTATCGTTTACATTTTTCTTAGGAATACATCATTATAGGACTCCTAAAGAAATTGGCCGGCGACTCGGATCGTTAAGTTTAAAATTTTATATTTTGAAATAAAAATAAATTATTAGATCATCTTAAGAATTTTTTTTTATTCACGGGATTACTGTGTTAATGTAAGGTGTAAGCCAAACTCAACCTTGTGCCTAATGTATTGAACTTTTCAATCATGCCAAAATGGTAAGCATCACTTATTCTTAAAACGAGAAAGAGGAAAAGCATTTTTATATAAGAAATGATCTTATAGGACCCCTCCTACTCACGTGTGTATGACTTCAAATGATCACCTTTAAATTTGGCACAGATCTATAAAAAAATCAATATAATTTTTCTAAAGATCCGTACCAACTTTAATGGTGATCCTTTAAGGTCCTACACATATGGGTGGGGAAAGATCGTATAGGATCATTACTCTTTTTACATTTGATTTGCTTGGTCTTTCACTAAACATAAAAGATACAAATTTTTTTTCGAGTTATAGAGTTACACGTTTTATAAGTTAAATGTAAGTGAGAAGTTTTACTAAATAGTTGAAAATAATATTACAATGAAATTTAGTTAAAAAAAGGAAGGACTTTTCTCAATATTAGAATGGATGTACATGAGAGATGTACTATTTAGCATTCTACTAATTATTTATTGATATAATTTAAAAAAATCAATTAAAAGACACATGATCATGAAATAGTCACGATTAGGTAAACCGTTAAATAGTTATGTTATGGATTTTTTTTTTTTATGACGATTATCTCTTATGGATATTTTGATAATAGAATAAAATAAAGGAAAAATTACTTATACCCCCCAATTTGTACTTTCTAAACACTCTACCCCCACCTTAATTTTTTCTTCACTTAAATTTTATAAAATGTGACTTTTACGACTAATACCCCCAATTTATTTCTCGATGGAACATCACTAAAGGCACGATACCTAGGGACTCTACTTGCTGTAAACTCACTGGATGGAGAAGGTCAAATGTTTCCCATTGCATTCGCAATTGTGGATGCCGACAGTACCGATAACTGGTTATGGTTTATGGAATATCTAAAAATTGCAATTGGGACGAATCATGAAATCATTTTTTTGTCAAATAGACACCCTGGTTTAGTTGATACAGTTTGTCAAGTTATTTATAATGCTCATCATATCTTTTGTAAGCGTCATTTAGCGGAGAATTTTAAGAAGGAATGCAAACACATACTTAACGATATTAAGAAGGCAGTTGTATGTAACTTTATCAGAGCATGTAGAGCATATACGGAGAAAGAGCATTTTGATAAGATGGTGGAAATTAGATCACTTTCTGATGATGCATTCAAGCATTTTATAGAAGCGTCACCAAATATGTGGGTCACATTACAGTTCAGAGGTAATCGATATGACTAAGTAACAACCAATGTGGCTGAGTCATATAATAAGTGGATTCTAGAAGTACGAGATATGCCAACTCTCCAGTGTGTTAACTTGATTAGGAGACAAATCATAGAACTAATGGCCACTCGCAGTTTGAAAGCTAAAGCCTAGAATACAACACTTACTCCAAAAGCTCAATACAAATTAAAAAAATTATTAAGCAATCCCTTTCCACGAGGATAATTATGGCATCAAATGGAGCAGTGTATAAAGCAAGAGGTGATTGCATGAATTATACAGTAAATATTATTGCACGAGAATGTGAATGCCGGGGTTGGCAAATAACATGTTTGCCTTGTAAGCATGCTTGTAAAGCCCTTCAAGTAATGAATAGGGACCATGTTGACTATTGTCAAGAATATTTCACAATTGTAAAATTTCGTGAAACATATTCTATAGTTATCATGCCAGTTACCTTGATCGACTTGTTTGGACATAGGTTATGTGGACAGCTTTCTCCAGAGGAAGTAAAAGTGCTTCCACCTCACTCAAGACCCCCCCTGACTGACCTAAAAAGAAGCGCATCAAGTCGTTTATTGAGGGCCTTTACAGGGAAATGGTGCAAGGTGACAAATACTGCACGTTTGACTGTTGGTGAGATGACTCCAACCTTGTATAACGTGTGGCATATATTGAAGATACCTGTGACAGGAGAGCCTGTAACCTGCATCAAACCTACAAACTACAACGATTTCATCATGGAGTACTTGGGAGATTGCCTTAAAGGTAATAAATTAAGCCGTCTTAAACATACCTGGTTGAGGACAAAATTCGGTCAACTACTAAAAGAGCCTACCAAATTAAAAATCCTTCAATACACTTGAGCATATCTCCTATATTTAGTCGGCACAACGATATTTGTTGATGCATATCAAGGGTCTACGCTTACAAGTTACCTACAACTGTTCCGAAGGTTGGAAAGTATGCATGGGGTGCAATAGCACTTGCCTTATTGTATCGTTCATTGTCTAAGGTCGTGGACGGGGATACGCATTTTAGTGAATCAACAACACTACTGCAGGTAATTTACACCTTTCTTTAGTTAATATTTACATATTGGTAGTCTTTTCGGATTCAAACTAATACTTCTACTCTTTTTTTTTTTGTAGTGTTAAATCTCTGAGCATTTTCCAACTATAGGCACCAAACCTAAACCTATCACCATAGAAATGCCTAAAGCTTGCAAGTGGAAGAAAGAACCATGTTGCAAAAACCCATTATCAGCGTTTGATGACATCTCAATTGATATGGATAGTGTTATGTTTTTTTTGTAAGTGACATAGTTAGTAGCATGTATTTTAAAAGACATTTCAATATACTTGTACTTTTTTTTTATAGGTGAATCGACAACCATATAAGGATTACAACCCATTAGATATACACAGTATAGAAAGCGCGCTGTGCCGATCATATTTGATAAGTTTCCACATTGCAGAGTATTATATGCCAGACCGTGTGCTATGACAATTTGGGAAGTTGCAAGTTATACCTGTTGGGCCACCCAAATGTGAGAGGAGGGATAATGTGGGTCTACACCCCACTAGTTGGATTGATGAGTTTGCTATTTAGATAAGCGACTGACGGCAACGAGAGCACAATGTTGTCAAGGCAACTACGGATAGATATAGTGGCATGCCTACAAAGGAATATATGGCCTGATACAACAGGTTTACTCATAGATATGGAAATACTCCCTTGAGCCCCTCGCATAGTCGCAGGCCCCCCCCCCCCCCCCCCCCCACCCAGGCCATGATGCTAAGAGGAGCTTGGTATATGTTTTTAATTAGTTTATTTTAGTTTTTATTGACTTAAAATAATTATTTATTCATTGTCTACTTGCAGCGATTTATATTACTTTTATTGTCTACTTGCAGTGATTAACATGTATAGGGATGCTACAAGCTGCACTTCGTGGTGAAGTAATAGCAGGGGAATCTAAACGTTTGGTACATGCAACCCACGCTTTGTTAATGCAGAACACTCCTACAGATAATGTCGAGGAGATGGTGGAAGTGATGGCGAGGATATAGAAGGTGGAGATGACGACAACGAGAGTGCGGATGGAGATACTGGAGATGAGGAAAGCAATACGAAAGAGGGAGATGTTGGAGATGAGGCAAGAGAGAGCAAGGCTGATGAGGAAGATGAGAGGAGAACAAAGAGCAAAAATGACGAGAAAAGAGACAGCGAGACTAATGAGGAAAATGAGAGGAGGACAAAGAGCAAAATGATAAGGGCAAGGCTATTGCAAGTTGGCTAAAGAGACGGTTGAGGCCAAGAAAGTGAAAATTATGTATTGTTTTTAGTCAAATGTAAATTAAAGCTACTCTATCATAGTAGACAGTTAATGAAATGTACATTCTTTTTGTTGGCATTATATTAATGAAAGCATTATGTTAATATGTTCTTTATCAATACCCTTTTAAGTACTCAATGTGTTGTTCTTCATTAATACCTTTTTAAGTACTCAATGTATTGTTCTTTATCAATGTGTTCTTTATCAATACCCTTTTAAGTACTCAATGTGTTGTTCTTTATCAATGTAGTTCCTGCTTTGAAACTTGGTCAAGCATAGGCTAACGAGTTTGTAACTTTATCAATACAGTTCTTATTTTGAAAAAGGTTGATATGAATGAGTTTGTAAATATTGATATGATAAAATTGTTGATGGATTCAATCTTATTGGATCATTACATAAGTACTTGTTCATAGGCTAATACATAGGCCAAATCCATTGGGTTGACGGATTCAATTTTCTTGGATTATTGCATAAGCACTTGTTCATAGGCCAATACATAGGCCAAATCCATTGGAGATTACATGTTCATATTTCTTGTGATATATATGGGCTCTCCGGCACTTGTATAACGCGCTCCAGCACTTATACAATGTGCTCTGGCACTTGCAGAATGCGCTCCGGCACATGATGAAGCAACTCCGGCACTTCATTATAACAGACCGACACTCAACTTGCTGGATGAAAGATCAATCCGGCACTTCATTATAATAGACCGACACTCAACTTGCTGGATGAAAGATCAATCCGGCACTTCACTTGCTCGGTCTGGTGAAAAGCTCACTGGATTCATTGGCACTCCGATGTTTGAAGCACAACGGATCGGTACTCTACTCCCTGGAAAATTATCAGTCTAGTGTTAAAGCAAAGCGCTCCAGCGAAGTATGCAAGCACTCCGGCAAAATCGTGAAGAAGTCCGGCAAAGGTTTATGAGGCTAGGTCAATTCGACACTCTATAGGAGTAGAGCGTCGACAATGTGAAACAGTCCGGCGATTGGTAGCCTCGGTCCGATGAAAAGCTCACTGGATTCATGAGCACTTTGGCATTCTGAGTAGACCAGACCAACATTTTGCTCCCTGGAAAATTATTTGTCCGGTGATTAACTAAAGCAATCCGGCAATATACAAAGGCACTTTGGCAAAATTTTTAGTCATTCCGGCATAAAAGGTATCAGGCTACATCAGTTCGACATTTCAGAGGAGCAGACCGACGATACATTCAACCAGTCCGGCGTGTTGATCTTCCATCCGGTGAATAGCTCATTTGATTCATGGCACTTTGGCGGTTGAAGAACAACGGCCCGGCACTATGCTATGCTCCTTGGAAAATTATCAGGCTGGTACTCCTGCAAAGCGCTCCGGCGTTATACACAATCACTTCGGCGCAACCACTCAGCAGTCTGGTAGAGTTGTAACAGGTTGGGTTAGTCCGACATTAGATAGAATCAGACCGGCGATATCGTCAGGTAGTCCGGTTTGTGAGCCTCGGTCTGACGAGTAGCTCTCTGGATACATGGGCGCTTCGGCTTATGAAGAACAGCGGACCGACAATTTTCTCCCTAGAGTTAGAGGAGTGTGTTCTGATCGGCGATTTATGAGCTCAGTCCGACGAATTTGTACTTGGTTAACTCTGGCATTATTACTACTGGAGTGGGTTCAGTCCGGTGTTATAGATGTGCGTTCCGACGTATCAGTGTCTACTAAGTACTCCGGTAGTTGTGAAAAGCAGTCCAGTATGTAGTATTTGTACGGCAACTAATAAATGCGGTTTGGTGATGTTTTATATTGGATCCATCCAAAGGATTTGGTTGTATGGTGTTAGTACGATAAGGGGTATTTTGGTCAAAAAAGGAGTAACTTTTTCAGGTGGGGGGTATTAGTAACAAAAACTGATTTTTTATAAAAAGAAGTAAAAAACGATTAGGGTGGGGGAAGAGTGTTTAGACACTACAAATTGAGGGGGTTTTAACAATTTTCCCTAAAATAAAACCAGCCAAAAGATCAAATATCCATTCACTCTCCTTTTATATTTTTAGGTAAAAAAAAATAACAATTTCTAAGATTGAGCAAAGGTCCTTTATGTCTAGACAATGATGTAGGTGGTTGAAACTCATATATGTTTAAAAAATTATTGGTAAATATAAAGTATAGTTATAAAAAACTTTAATTTAATAAAATAGAATGTTTGACTAGCATTGGCTGGTCCGGTCGTCTAGTTTCAATTGACAAAACATCGTTGATAAACTTTTTTCTAATGTATTTGTTTAAAATTTTATTTTTATTTTTACTATATTTTTAAATAACTTATTCAATTTCGATGACCGTTACTTGGTTCAATTTTGATTTGGACCAAACTGAATTTAGCCAAAACGATGCTCAAAACACCAAAATGCTTGCGCACGTGTATAGCCCATAAAGCTCCCGAAACGTGTCGCCGTGCGTTTCCCGCTCTCCTGTTCTCCGGCGTGAACAAAGGCGCTCTCTCTGGAACAGGTAGAATTAAGAGAGAGATTGGAGAGAGAGAAGGAAGAGAGAGAACTGAGAAATTCTGAGTGATTGATTAAATTGGAAATGGATTATGGTTTGGCAGCGTTGAAGCTCTTTTGTAGGCAGCTAAAGGACGCTGTACCCACCCACTCTTCCCCTCCCTCAATGACCTTAGCAGGCATCCTCTTCCAGCGTGCTTGGTTGCAGGTCCTGTTATTTCTCTCTCTTCGTTTTTATATACTCTCTCTTCATTTCTTTTGTGAAAAATGAAAACACCCATATTTCTCAGAAATGGTATTTACTGCCTTGTTGATCCCTTGAATTCTTCTTTCACTAGCTAATTAGTATGCCCTTCATACTATTGCTACCTGCTTCTTTTCCAGTTTCAGATGATGGTCATTTTTTTTAAAATAAAAATATTTATCCGATGAGGTTTGATTCCTTTAATGTGATAGGCCTTCATTCTGAAATGAACTTCCTTTTTTTTTTATTTTTTATTGTTCTTTCGTTGTGATTTCTACAATGTGCTATTCATCACATCGAATTACAATTGGGTTTTATTGATAGGGAGCTTTACAAATGATTTTTTAATCATTTTCATGAATTTGAGCCATTTCCGCATTGTTGGTTTATTGTTGGAGTAATGGGACTTGAGTTAATGAATGGCTTTTTCATAACTAAATCAATTTACAAAGGAAATGTTGCCTTATTTTCAAGCAAATGGCATGGAGTGCAGGGTATTTTGGTTTCAGGGCAAGATGAAGGTTGCTTCATTTTAGACGATGGAAGTGATGTCATTGAGCTTTCTCTGTCCAATGAATTTCAGCAGGAATCATGGAAAACAGGTCTATTTTTATAAAGGGAAAAGAAAAAAAAGAAACCCAACTTTATTTGCAATCTCCAATGTGAATTTTGAAGTAATGTTTCTTTCTTGAGTTTCACAGAAAGTGATAAACTTTTGGGAATTTGTGCTCCAGGAATGTATGTCATGGTTATTGGGGCATACACAATTCGCACTGACGATCGGCCCATAATTAAGGTACTTGATGATTCCTGTTTTTCTTAGCTTCCGTGCTTTAAGCTGCATCAAAATAATTGGGTTTGGTACTGTAGTTGCCATGTTGGGCCCATTAAGAGGTTTTATTTTTAAAACTTCCATCAATATAGCTAAGTTCCAAGAAAAAGAAGATATCTTTAGTAGCAGTGATGTTTGAATTTTTTCATTTCCTCGTTGATTTGTATGATACCTCATTGTTTCCCATCCAAATTATCTATTTTTTTGATAATGTTAACATGAAATTTCTCGTTATCTTGCAAAGGTCACATACAAAATTGCAAATAATGTCTATATAAAATGACTCAAAATCCAGTGATCCAGAATTTATCCATATTCAACTCTCTGTCCTGTACAAATTATCTTGTTCGTCTCTCTCTCACACACACACACAAACACACACTTCATAAAGACTGACATGTTCAATCACATGGGAAATAGCACTTCTTGTGGAATAAAGGTCTAACCCTATGACATCAGACGATCGTATCTCATATCCAAGAAGGTTTATCGCCATCATACTTTTCCATGGAAGGATCTTGGATTGGTCATAGCTTAAGCTATTTTCTAGAGGATGGAGATAATGTAAGCCATTGGGGCTGTTTGGGATCTGGCATGTGGGATAGCATAACTGGAAGTGATCACTAAGAATGCGATAATTACAGGACTAAGAGAGATGATTTTCGAGATATGAAATTTCTGTGGGCAATTAGCATTGGTTCTAACCTGGTCAATGTTCACAAAAACGAAGTAAATGTTGATATTTAAAATTAATATAGTTTTAGTTATTTAAAAAAGGGAAAAAGTTTATATAGAGTCGAAGCTCTAAACAATCAAACTAGAGCCTACCTCAAAAATTTCACTTGTAGAGGTTGTTTTGATGCCCAAATATCCTCAAATTAGTCACCTCGACATCAAGATGCATGGACATGAGTAAAAAATGGATTCCAAGTTTTGGAAACAGTGTATTTTGTAACGTATTTTTGGACCACCAATTTTCAAGAATTTCAAGTTTTCATAGATCTCTCGATCTACACTATTTTTTAAGCTTTAAACTTTATAAATAAAGATGGAAATATATTTTAAGGCTAGCAAAAATATTTCCAGTATTGAAACTACATTTCTCAACCCTATTTGAAGGTAGGCTCTAATTTGATTGTTTAGAGCCTAGGCTCTATACCAACCGCACCCTGTAAAAAATTCTTGTTAATAGGAGGATGATGCTTGAAGCATTATTGTGGAATTGGGGTATCTTATGAATCATGTTCATAGTTGGATGGATGCCTTAACTTGGGATAAGTAATTTTTGATAAGCTATTGATATTGTTAGAATAATTGTCTCGGAAACGAATGTGGAAATAAGATCTGGAGCAGGTGGCAAAATCATGCACGAGGGATTCCTCACTAGAATTGGCAGCAAACCTTATCGATTCATGCTGGCCAAATATGAAGACTCCCCTTCTATTGCTACTAGAAGCAAGAGTTAATGCCTTTAGGCGTCAATCTCCTAATGCTATCAATGTAGCATAGTTGGCCAGAATAGGTCAGTAGAGCCTCCAAGTTGTAGCCTATGGGACTGTGGCCTTTAATACAATCTGGTATATATGATTTTCAAAAGGAACAACAAACTTATGCTTGTGCTTTTCTCATTGATGATAATGTCTTCTGCATGTAGATTTATCGTAAGGAGCAAATTTAGACTGTTAGACACCATGGTAAATTTTAGTGAGAAACAACAGTCGTATAGATTTCTTGCGGTCATCAGTCCCTGGTCAGCTGTTAGCCAGTTACAAATAGAGTGTGCTTTTTCTCATGGACTTTGGAATTGGCTAACATCATCAGTTTCGTTTGATGAGTATAACTTTGTCCTTTTTTTTTGTGCTTCTTGTATTTAAGGGAGGAGAAGGGGGATCACATTTATCCTACTGTGAAGGACCTAGCTCCTACTATTGGGTAATAATCTTCTTTTTCGATAGCATTAGAAAATGGTCAACTTCTACTGAGACAAGTATGCTGTGGTAGCCATGATGCTAGGCGCACAGGAAAAAAAGAGAAGATCACCGCACCTCCTATGGTCGTGGGGGAAGAAAGAGTATACATTCCTTGCACTAATTAGAGCTCTTGTTTTATCACAATAAACTTGTGACGGCACCAAGAAAACCAGAAATTAACTTATGTTTTTTGAAGACATTAACTGTAGTATTGAGAATGTTAACTTATGATGTATTTAAAAAGACCATTCGGATTAACATAGTCAATAGCTCAATTTATTCAGTAGTTCATGACATATGATTCTTATGCATCTGCTTTATTTTGCCACTAGGCTTACTAAGGATTGTTGTTGCGAGTTTTTCTGCAGGTTCACAAAATTGTTGATCTGTCACCTTACCCTGATCGCGAAGCTATGTGGCATTTGGAAGTGATTGAGGCTTACAAGTTATTCTACCAGTCTTCATCTGAGGCATAAAATAATTCTGCATGAAATAATTCTTTCATGTAAAGTCTTAACAGTGTCAAATGCCAGGCCGTGTCAATTGGTATGATTTCGTTGATGTAAAGACTACCTTGACCTCCTTGCATTTGGTTCAATGCCAGTTTCTGTTTTGCCTATTAAAATTAATAGAAATGTTTCTTTTGGGTGTAAAGGATTTTATGGTTTGATCTTCAGTTGTTTTCAGATTTTCTACGTGTATGGTGCTCCAACTCCGAACTTGATGCTCATGTATCTTCAGCTTTTGAAATTTTTGTACTGGCCATTTCTGAAATAATTTCGATAAAAACATCTCAGTTCTTGCATGGGTTGATATGTTGAACGATTGGACTTATGAGTAATATAATTGAGGCAGTGTGTTCAGTATAATCTCTCACCCTTGGAGGTCTATACTTAAATTCAGTACCGATGTTATGATGCATTCATGCTGTTCAATTTATTTGCCCATTTCCTAAGTTAATTGGGTTGGCAGTTGAAATAGACTACGGTGGAGCTCCTAAAATGACAGATTTTCTTACCGATCAAAAAAGACAGAATAAAAAACAAATTACATTCCTTCTTTTTATCGCTTTATTTTGCCTGAATCTTTATGGACCTTTATTTTGCCTGAATCTATATGGAAGACTAATAACCTAAAAGGCTGTGGTTTGTATAACGCCTTAAAAAATCAAAGTAAGGCGCACTTTCAAATAGTGTCGAAAGATGTTTTCGTAGTGAAAATTTTTGGGATGGCCTGAAAATTTATTTCCATATCTAATTATAAAAGTTAAAGCTTCAAAAAATTGTATAGATCAAGCAAATATATACCCACTTGAAAATCTTTAAATTAACGGTATAGGAAATGCATTACAAGATGCCTTTTTTCAATACTTGAAATCTATTTTTTTTTTTATGTCCATACATCTTGAAGTCGAGATAATTGATTTGAGGGATTTTTGAACATCAAAACAATATCTTCTAGTGAATTTTTGTTGTGCCCTTAATTTGATTGTTTAGTGCCGCACCCTCTTATAAACTTTACCCTAACCTAAATACTACACTTGAATGAGAACTTCCTTATATGTATTTTGGTCAAACGAATCTTAAACTCCTCCAATATTTGGGGATGTAAACTCTTCAACCATATTCTTTTTAAAACTAATCAACGGTGACTCTTAGGTGCATCCCAAAATTCCATATGAAAAAGTCATCCAATGTAGCTCTTTCATACGATGGACTAATTGTAAAGAATGCTCCGGCAGGAACATGCAGTACACGCCCTTTATTTTGGATTTAAGGCACATGAGAAGTAATAAACTACAATTTTTGGTTTAAACTACCCTTGGTTAATCCGCAAACCATCTTATCGGGATTTCAATTAAATTTTCCCCCTGCAAACTTTTGATGGAAATTAAATTGAGAAATAGTTGAACCTAGGACAGAAAATCAGGGTGATGGAGCCTTGACTTCCCAGAAGCCCCCTACCTTTTCCTCAATGAATATTTAGCATTAGTTTTCTCGGAGCATATAAGGAATGCCATCAGATGTTAGTTTTTGAGTACATCTCTAATCTCATTGAACATCCTCGAAATACTGCAAAGCAATTGATTCAATAAAAAGAAGCATAAATCAAATAGAAAGAACATTTGGGGCATGCATTGCAATAAAATAAAAGGGATGAAAAGACTATTCATACATTAAGAAAATACTTTCGTCCGGTTTATTGATTTAATGGAATCAGAAGTGATGCTAATCAAGAAAGAGGGGCTTAGAGACCCTTTGTCATGGCCATTATAGCATGGGTGTCACCCTGGGCATAAGGGGCATGATGACTTGCCTCACCTTCCTCCACCTCAGAAATATATAAGGCAATACAATTGTTACAAGTGGGATCAAAGCTGAACTATGGAAAATATACAGTCTGGGACAGTCACTGCTGCTCTTCCATACAGGACCGCAGCAATTTGTGAGCTCTTTCTACGTCTTTAGTTAAATCTTGCTCACGGGCACTGGCACTTGAGTTGATCCATGCATCAAAAATGTTGAGCATGCTATCAACCTGCGCTGCTGGTGAAGGAAAACTAAAGTTGAACACAAAATTATCATAACAAAAGTCTCAACTTTCTGTTAGGTGCATATTTAAAAGGATAATAATGAATAAGTTGCTGACTTCAAATGAAAAAGAAATGAAGAAAAAGAGGCTACAAACGTCCAGATATGCAACATGGCCAAACCATTTACAATGATAAAATACTTTACATTCAGTATAAATTGATGAATGCAGATCACTTCAGAGGAAACTTGCCCACAATATTTCATGGATTTACAATCAAAACCATTCTTTGTCAAATTGACTAAAAACATGGGCTCAATGGTGCTTCTATTGTTTTCCTAACACGAGTATCCTTATTCATAAGCAATCCATGGCATCCCAGAGATGAGAAACAAAACTGCATGAACTTAAATCAGGGCACTAACATACAACATTTCAATCCTCGGCAAGAAAATAAGCAACTACAGAAGAGCATTACCAACTGAATTCATAAACCCCAAATTACTTAAGGAAATTACAGATACTAAAATAACTGGAACTTATAAATAAACTTCAGCTGTTTTGGCCACTATAATTGCAAGATACCTTAGTTGTCTTAAAGAATTAGCGCCAAGTTTGGCATGTTGAGGGGTTATCTGCATCATGATCTTAAAAACCAGTAAATTTGTTGTTCTCTTCAAATGAGAACTGATGTTTTGGAAGTGTTCACATAGCTCATATGGGGTAGTGGTTTTACTTGCAATAAAATATTAAATTTACCCAAAAGAAAACAGGGAAAATGATTTTAGATTGTAGTAGCATTTCAAATATCAGGATACTGATTTTGTTTTGGCATTGGGACCACTAGTGAAACCGTTAGAACCACACTCCCAACCTTCACCTTCTCGATTGTGATCAATAATGTCTTCAATAATCACATCAGACTTGCGCATCAGTACTGAGGCATATTGTCTCAAATATAATGAGCCCATATCGGCATCTTGGACTTTCACTAGGATCCTAGCCAGGACACTCCAGAGTGCATGGCGCGCTTGAGAATCATCAGACACTGAAGGCAAAAGATCCAGTAGACCCTGCAGGAAAGGCAAATCTACAAAGAGTACAATTTCACATCAAGCAATCCAAAGATCAGCACTGCCATAATGACAAGTTTACAAGGTTGCATATGGTTACCATGTGAAATCTCAGCCACTCGGTTTGGTCCATCTGAAAGGAGATTTGCAATCAAGACCACTGCGGTAACACGAGATCTGGCCACCTGTCATCAAAGACATGGGTCAATGAGTATCTCCAGTAGGGATTTCTTCCGAATCATAAAATGTTATTGCCAGGCAAAAGCATCAAACTATCTCATTAATATGGAATCAGAGTATTCCTACAGTAGGAATATTTTAGAATGAATACACTAAAGGCAGGCTCCTTATCTGAAAATGATATGTATACTAGGCGTGCTCTTCCCTTGGGATAAATGGATAATGAGAATATGAGGTGTGTTATTCCCTTAATTCCCTTCTCCTTTAGATATTGGAAGCATAATTGGACTTTTAATAGGAATGTTTCTATCATCATTCTTTTCCCTAGCATATTGCCAATCTCAAAAGAATTTCTACAGTCGAGAAAATAAAGTCACCCTCCAAAATATCAATGCATAAATTGAAACCCAATAAATTAATTGAATCTTCGCACCTAGTTTCTAGGGCATACTTCGCAAATAATACCTCATCAATATCAGGAAGCTTGATAACATCGCAGGCAAGCTGAAAAAGCTTCTTATTTGAACAGAGCATCTCTGAATAATTTTGAACAACCGATAGCGCTTCACATACTTGAAGTATAAGGTCAAGAATTGTATCTCTGCATACATCCTTTTTGCATCAAACATGGAGTGTAAATATACTCAAACAAGTATGTGAGTGAGTGAAAGGGTTCTAAGGTCCCAATAGCCATGGTATTGGCCATTGGAAGCACCAAAACCTCTCTCTCCCTTCCCTCCTCTCTCTCTCTCTCTCTCTCTCTCTCTCTTTTATGACACTTCTCTTTGCAAAAGTTTTGGGGATTATTGATGACAATGAAAAGCAGTGGTTCTTGTGCAAGGATAGATATTTCTATTTTTTATTTTTCCATCAGCTCATTGAATTTGGGAGTGGAGTTTTGTAAATGACAGTGATGTTGATTACCTGCTTCTTTCTTCTTCCTGCTTTCTGTTGCTTTTTTATGGGGAAATGTCCCCTTCATTCCCTCCCTTGAGGTTTTATGGGGTCATGTCCAGTACATTGTTCCCTCCCTTGAGGTTTTATGGGGCTATGTTCAGTACATAATTAGAATTTTTAAGCTTTACCGTGTTTGAAAATTGATTTAGTGTTCTGTACACGATTAGATTTTTGTTTTTAAGCTTCACAGTCTACATATATATAGAAATATGCATATTTGCCTATTCTTAGAAAATGTCTTATTTAGAACATTTATTGTATGAAAATTTTTAAAAACTAAATGACGAATATTCTTTATTTTTTTTTTCAAATATTCTTTACCAATTTCTGCCAATAGGATATTGGAGAAATTCTAGAAAAACTTCCTATTCAAAACATCTATTTGAATTTGAAATTTTAGGAAATAGATGAGATGGGAGTCCTACTTTCCCTGCACTTGGAAAAAGAGAATCTAAGAACTGGTTGGAATTAGAGATAAAGATGGATTTACTGAAGGCACTTAAAGAAGGAGGTTGATAATGGAAGGAGGAGAGAAATGATCTAGGAATTCTAAACTTATTCATTCCCTCAAAAGATATTTTAGAAAAAGTTAAAAGAGTAAAGAAGGGTCATAAACGGGAATTCAAAATTCACACTCCTATTTATTCTCCCTTACTAGTAATATGTGTATTGAAGCCCACCGTAGACTACATGGTATAGGGCACATGAGATATAGCAGTATACAAGAACAACCTTACCACAAAGATCTAGCAATAGACATAACAATGAATGCATCATATCCATATCAGTTTGTGAAAATAATTCACCATCATCATCATGGCAGCAAGGTAGCGTTTTCCTATTATTTCGTCAGTAGAAAATATTTTAAAAAGGACATGGGAAGCTTCGAACTGGAAGAAGAGGAGATCAAGTGTAGCGCAAGCTAAGTGCAATTTTTTGTCATTCATAGTTGTCAGAGTCAGCATACCTGTCGTACAGTTTGCCCTCACTTATCTTATTGATCTCACATGCCAAGAGATCGGCCAAGATATCTGGCAAACCCAGCCGCAATAAAGGTGGAAGGAGAATCGGTTTTGCTATTTGACTATCAGCAATTGCCAGTAGTAATTCAACACACTGCATCAAATCGAGGGTTGACATCAACAAGCGACAAAGATGATGACACCCATCCCATCATGCAAAAGTGGATTTGTCAGATTCCATCATCTTTGGCTTATGACACATATCCAAGTATCACACACATTAGCACCATGATGGAAACAGTTGGACTACAGTTTCATATTAAATTTCAGGATGTTGTCAATAAGAGACAATTCATATGTTGGAATATCAAGTGGACATAGGAGTCTAACCAGCTTGCTGTTCGGGACAAGTTCAGAGAAATTTATACTTGTGTAGATCTTCAAAGTTTAATGTGTCATTTAGAATCCTAAGAAAGATAGGGCATTATAATATCTTTTCTGTAAACTGTTATATGCTTTCACAGGCATATCGAAGAAAATGAAAAACCATGATAATATGTATACCTTACAATGGATATTATCCTCTTTATGATTCACCCACAAAAGTAATGTGAGAGTAAGGTTTGCCAGAAGTTGCGAAATGTCTCCTACTGAGGACATAATCATACCTCGGGCAAAAAATATAGGCATTTAAAACCCTCTCAGTAGAACGATTTAGAATATCTTCAGATATCACTTAGTCAAAATACTTGTCTTTAAGTTCAGTCTTTTTTTTTTCTTTTTTTTCTTTATGTGTGATGGTTTTATTAAGAAAATGGGGCCAGTTAAAACAAAATGTTGGTCATGGAGGTGTCAAGGTGGTATCTACGCAGGGAAAAGGAGAAGTAACCAGGCAAATAAAAATAGTTCTGGAACTTCAAGTTCTGAGCAGAAAAGAATGAACCAAAATTGTATTTGAAACATCGAGAAGTTCATAGTCATACCTTTTCTAATAATTGAGAGTTCAAAGTATTTCCTGTGATCCACAAGAGACGCTGTAAAATGGGTTCAGATTCCAATGCGTTAATCCATTTGATGGCTCTGCTACTTTGGAGACACACCACTAGCAAACTGTGACATGAAGCCTAGTCATAAATAGAAATTCCGGCACTGGAACAAATCGTACATCACAGAAAATATGAATGGAAGTTATTGCTGAGTAACTATAATAAATTTGTTTTTACCTAACCAAAAAGTTTTTGGCTATCTGCATCAAATTTAGTGATGTTCATCAATTGGGAAATTTAAAGAAAAACCCATTTTATTTTTGAAATTTTAAAAAACTACCCTATATTTTACAATATATGCTTAAGTCCCACTTTTTTAGATTGTAAAAAGTATTTTAATTTTATTTTTCCATATATGGGATTAAGCTCAAATTTGGGGCATCTGAATTTCTCACCATAATGCATCAATAAT